TGGATTTGGGATTGGATATTCCCAAATTTTAGGGAGGATCTGGGGTTGGATATTCCCGAAAAAACTAAAAATTAAAATTCAAATTAAAGTTAAAATTGAAATTAAAAAAAATTAAAAATTAAAGTTAAAATTGAAATTTAAAAAATTGAATTAAAGAATCGAATAAAGGTTAAAAATTAAAACTAAAATTGAAATAAAAAATCAGGAAATAAAAAAAATAAAAAATTAAGTTAAAACGAAAAAATTGAAATTAAAAAATCAAATGAAAATTGAAAATTAAAATTAAAATTAGAATTAAATGAAAATTGAAATTAAAAAATCGAATGAAAATTAAAATTAAATTAAAAGTTTAATTTAAAGAATAAAGAACTAAAAATTAAAAGTAAAATTGAAATTGAAAAAATTAAATTAAAAAATTTAATGAAAATTAAAAATTAAAACTAAAATTCAAATAAAAAATTAGAAAATAAAAAATATAAAAAATAAAACTAAAATTGCGATTAAAAAATTAGAAAATAAAAAAAAAATTAAAATTAATATTGAAACTAAAAAATTAAATTAAAAAAACAAATTAAGATTAAAAATTAAAACTAAAATTAAAACAAACAAAATTAAAATAAAAAATCAAATAAAGATTAAAAATTAAAACTAAAATCGAAATTAAAAAAAATTTGAAATTAAAAAATCGAATGAAAATTAAAAAGTTAAGATTAAAATTAAATTAAAAACTTAAAAAAGAAAAAATTTAAAAATCAAAAATTTAAATTAAAAAATAGAAAATTAAAAAATAAAATTAAAATGAAAACATTTAAATTCAAAAATCAGACAAAAATTGAAAATTAAAATTGAAATTCATTTAAAAATTGTAATTAAAAAATCAGATACCAATTAAAAATTGAAACTAGAATTAAATTAAAAATTGAAATTAAAAAATTCAAAAAAAAAATTAAAATTAAAAATTGTAACGAAAAAATCGAATGAAAATTAAAAATAAAAATGAAAATTTTCATCCCGTGGCTTTTCCAGGCTCCCCGGAATTCCCATTCCCGGGCGGAACATTCCGGTGGGCGCGGTACCGTCGGAACGGCGCCGGATTGACGGAAAACCAAAGGATCTTCAGCGAGTCCCTGCACAGGGTAAAGAATCCCGGGAATTCTGGGCATTTCCCAGGAAATTCCCGACTTTTCCGTGGGTTTTTGAATTTAATTTTTTTTATTTCAATTTTAGGTTTAATTTTAAAATTAATTTTTCATTTTTGTTCTTTTTTAATTTAAATTTTTAATTTAATTTTGATTTTTATTTGATTTTTTAATTTAATTTTTGAGTTTTTTAAATTACATGTTTATTTTAATTTCAGTTTTTATTTTAATTACAATTTTAATTCTAATTTTTAATTTTTATTAGATTATTTAATTAATTTTTTCACTTTAATTTCGTTTTTTAATTTTTTTATTTTCTGATTTTTTTAATTCAATTTTCAATTTAATTTAAATTTTTAACATATTAAATTAAACTTATTTAATTTTTTATTTGATTTTAATTTTAACTTTTAATTTTCATTTGATTTTTTAAATTAATTTTTTTTTTTCAATTTAAGTTTTAATTTTTATTTTTTATTTGAATTTTTAATTTACATTTTTATTTTAGTTTTAATTTTAATTTTTTTATTTTCTAATTTAAATTTTTAATTTAATTTTAATTTTTAATTTACATTTTTATTTTAGTTTTATTTTTTATTTTTTTTATTTTCTTATTTAATTTTCTAATTTAATTTAATTTTCAATTTTCATTTGATTTTTTAATTTAAACATTTTAATTTCAATTTTAATTTTAATTTTTTTTTTCTAATTTTAATTTTTAATTTAATTTTAATTTTCAATTTTCATTTGATTTCTAATTTAACTTTTTTAATTTCAATTTTAATTTTTAAATTTTTTTAATTTTTACTTGATTCTTTAAATGTTTTCAATTTAATTTTATTTTTTATTTTTAACTTTATTTTTAAACTTTTTGTATTTTCTAAATTTTTTTCCATTTCAGTTTTAATTTTTAATTTTTATTTGATTTTTTAATTTCAGTATTTATTTTAATTTTCAATTTTTTTATTTTTTACTTTAATTTTAATTTTTAATTTTTTTTGGTTTTTTAATTTCAATTTTAATTTTCAGTTTTTATTTGATTTTTTATTTTTCATTTGGTTTTTTTCTAAGTTTTTTTATTTCAATTTTAATTTAAATTTCGAATTTTAATTTTTATTTTTTAATTTAAATTTTTAATTCAATTTAAATTTCTAATTCCATGAATTTTCGGGATATATTTTCCAGCACGAAAACACCTTAACCTTGGGAATCCT